TATATGTGTGTGTGTATACACACACACACACACACACACACACACACACACATTAATTAGCTTGTCTTAACCATTGCACAATGGCTACAATAATCATGTTGTGTACCATAAACATATCTATAGTTATTGCATTATGATATGTGATTCTTATTTATCATTCAAAAATGATGATTAGTAATTTCATCAGAGTGCCATCTCAAACATTATTTTAAATACTTTTATAAAATACCTCTCAATAGATAAGAGGCTATATTATGCTAATTTTGATTCTCATAACCTAGCATACTATGTATCAAAAAGTGGGCTGTGTAGATACATGTGTGCTCCCAAGCATACTGACTCCAAATCCATTTGTTTCTTAGTCTAGAAGCAGGGCCATTCTACTACTGATGAGCACAGTAATTCACAGCCCTTAGTTTCCAAGTGGAACTTTCCAACACAAGGAACCAGTTTCTTAATGCAGTAACTGACTCCAAGGCTAGGGAATAATAATTTTTTGTTTCAGAAGTTAAAGAGATATTCAAAGCATGTAGAAGGTGTGCCAAAGGGACATAAGAACCAGTTTCCAGCATGCTTGCTGAAAGTATCTGGGAAAATTGGATGGTCAAGATATATAATCGTAGTGGCAGAATATTATATATTAAGTAAGATAATAATCCATGATCAAATACTAACATACAAATTAAATGAGTGAACAAGTCACACAGAAGGGACGGACTTTTCTTATCATAAAATACCAACTATTAAATATTGAAGGAAAGGTTTAATAAGAGAATTATGATTTGGCCATCATCACACTCAAACTGATCAAGACAAAAATGACCCATGTGTGCTAGGGTACATGAATCAGAGTCTGACGACAGCCAGGGAATTTGTAGTTTCTTAGTGCTTTCCTATACTCTACTTATTAATTGCAAGTAATATCCTGCAAGTCAACATTAAGAAGAAGAAACCTGGTAAATGTCCCACAGCCAAGTAGTTCACGGTAACTTTGCCAGTAATGCGACAGAGAGCCCGTGATTCGTCACCATGAGATAGATGCAGCTACGTTTCCAGGACATCCCAGCCCGACATCATAATCGGTTTTACTCTGAGGAATCTCAGACAAACTCAGTGAGGGCCTTCCTACCAAACCTGGATTCTGCCCTTCAAGTATCAGAGTCATGGAAGATATTTTAAAAAGAATAGAGAGCTGTTCTGTTGAAAAAGAGGACAAAGGAACATCATGGTCAAATGCAGTACTTGATCCAAAGTTAATTAATCTCTGGTAGATTTTTTTCTGGGTAGGAGTTATGTTACAGGACAACTTACAAAATGTGATTGGAGAGGAAAGAGGATTCATTTCCTGATTCTGGTAGCTGTAATGGTGAGTGTCATGGACAGAATGCCCTTATTCTTTGGGAAAACCTCCTACAATAGGGCTGGGGATTTAGCTCAGTGGTTCCAGCGCCTGTGTCACAAGCACAAGGGCCTGATTTTGATCCCCAGTACCAAAAACAACAACAAAAAACTTCCTAGAATATACAGGGGATGTGGTATCATTCCTGTCACTTAAAATTACTTTGTATATGCATCCAAAGTGTAAGAAACATACAGTATGCTCACTTTGATTCCCACGGTATAAACAGATGCAACACGTGGGAGATACGTTTGCCACCAACACAGGTACACAGTGTGTTTGTGAGGGCCAGGACACTAGTTGTTCTCTTCTGCTCGTGCCTTCCCTTCTCATGGCTGCCTTGCGTGGTTGTGGTATGAGTTTCTGATGCACCCGAAACGCACTCTGTGCAGGAGGGAAGCCCATCAGCTTCACTCCCTGGTGAGAGCGTCCTCTCCTGGCACAGGGCCATGCAGGACAGTGGCATCGTGAGTGGTGGCTTTGAAAAGGAGTCATCATGATGGAAACCGGAGCCCCATTGGTGCCAGGCACAGCAGTGACTCCTTCTCAGGTTCCGTGAGGGAGCGAGCAGCTCTGTGCCTGCTGTGGACTCAGCACACGGAGAGATAAAGCTAGCAACTCTTCTTGACTGTTTTTATTTAACTGCCCTTGAGGGAAGAGGTCTTATTGGTTTCTCTGAATATCTTATTTTAATTTAACTGACGTCTTCCAGAGATAACAGAATGAAATCATCACATTGGCAAACGAAGCTCTGCTCTGGTCCTCTAGAGGGGGCTGCCAAAGAGAGGCACGTGAGCTTCATAATTGATTTGAGGTTATCCAGTGGACAGATTGAAAACAAGTTCAAACGAACAAGGAAAAGTGTTTTAAATTAAACGTGTTGGTTGTATCATTATATCCCAAATCTGAACACGCCAACATGGAACTGTGAGATTTCCTTTTAGTTGTTTTTGCCAGTAGTGAGTCTAGGTTGTGTGGTTTCTAGTGCCAGCCCGTTTTCCTTTGGACTAGCCAGAGTGCAGGTGTTCAGCGTGGGCAGCATTGTGAGTTGTGGATAGGAGGTGAGACAGCATTTATAACTTTTTGCTTTCAGTTATTTATGCCATTTTTTTACACGAGACTACCTAGATTCATTTGTGTATCTCAGGCTGTTCATTTTCTCCTTCTACCACTTTCCAAAAATAGACACTACACAAAAGTAATGTTGGAATATGGAAAAACGAGAACACGGGGACCAGGGAGAACAGCCGCTTCGGAGAGCAATAGAGGAAATACCCGTGGCAGCTGCCCCAGCAATGGCTGGGATGAGCACCAGGCTGGGTCTCTTCCACCCGCCAGACACCTCCAGGTGGTGACTGGCTCTGCCCACCTCTCTCCGCTTCACGGTAGCACCTTCCCACGAATGTCTAGGTGCTCCTTGCTTCCCAGACTTTGGTCTATTTCCCAATGTTGAACGCTCTCCCTCGTTGTCCTGTCTCTCATAAATACCACCCCCCCCACTTTCTTAATCTAGAAAAAGACACACCACGTCCTTGTGTCACATGAGGCACTAGCCCCGAGTCACCCACCCTGAGGATGGATGGCTGGTTTCCCTGCAGGCAGTGCTCAGCCTCGGTGCCTCTTTTCCGACCAGCAGTTAGTGCTTTGTTCCGAAATTCACTGTGTCTGAAAACAGTGTTTTGTTTCTTTTTATATTCTCGGAGTTATATTAGAGTGGATTATTAGATTAGGCCCCCTTGCAGGGGGTAGAGTAAGGACATGTGCTTAGAAACATTTTAATCCTTTGATAGTTGATAATATCTTTTATTTTCTTAATATTTTAATTTAACA